ACTTCTGGGACATACTGTATATACTCATCTCAAAATACAATATCCTTCCATTATATAATGGTCAATATTTTATGGCTTTAAACGTGGGCTTTGTGCATTTTATATCTATCTGTCGTTTGTTAGAATCAATCAAAGATAACGATCATTCTATACCTTACTGCTTATTGTTAATTACTATAGTATAATATTTAATTATTCTGATCAATAACTGATAGCACCTATATCTGCTCAGTACACATTTGTAACTGCGGATGTAACCAAAAAAAAGGCTTAGGAAAAATAATGTACAGAATTCAATTTTTTTTCAATATGATTCTAAAATTAAGTGTTGAATTTACCATCATAGATCTATAATAATATATACATTCATTCTAAATCACCAATTTCAACAATTTAAAAATATAATATTAAGCATTGTTTTAAAAAAATCTAGCAAAATTTGTTTTATAGTGACATACTGACCTAAATCGTAAATAAATCGTATAGGTACCTAATTATATAACTACAAACCACCGAAACTTAACTTCACATTTTGTTCAATGATGGCCTACCTAAAGAATAGCATCGTAAAAAATCTGACCTTTTCAAAATGTCGACAGAATTTAAGAAAAATACTTCCTTTTTTATGTGTTTTCATAACAGCTACTTTGGCCACACAAATAATTGCGTTTAATAGAATAAAAGAAATAAAAAATACACTATTTATGTATTGTTATCATCATAACGGATCAAAATCAATTATAATGATATGTTTTTAATTTAGATAGGTACGGTTAAACACTAACATTTAATAGTCATTCAATGCAGGGGCGTACCTGTAAAAGTATAATTTTGCCCCCCAAATAATCCACATTTAAAAAGTATTCTTAACAATACAGTTAACATAATATTATAATATTAAAATATTTTTTTTCTACAAAAGTTTATATTAATTATTATAGGTTTCTCTTGTAAATAATATTATAACGTTAACATATTGTCGAAATAATCGCATTATTCTTGACTATTATTATTCGTGATTCGTGAAGACGTTATTATCTTGAAATCGTGATTATGAGTACAGGAACGTACGGCCGAACGGGAGGTTCATTTTGGATCAATAACAAGTAATACTGATAATAGCATAATAATGATAATTATTATATTATTTTGTCTTGCTTATATCCCAGTTTTACTTGTACCTATTAAAAATGGATAGTCAAATAATCAAATGGAGTAGGAGGTAACAGAAAACTAACACTAAAATAACAAAAAATACAATACCTATTATTTCTTTTATTTGTTAATAAAGTAATAACATCATTTGTTGGTTATTTATTTATTATTTATTGTTCCCCAAACATATGTATATAATATTTATACTACTTACCTAATTTTTAAACTACTATTATAGCACCTTTTATTAATGGCCTCTCTAGGTACTTAATAATATTTAACAATATGGGTACCTGTTACCTACAATTTGTTTCTAAACCATAACATGAGTTTTAAGACTAAATCAGGGTGGGGGTCAGGGTTTTGACTATGGTGAATAAATGATATTGCCCCCCTTGGTTTTTTATCCAGTTACGCCACTGGGTACCTATATAAATTAATATAATAATTATTATAACAATAAACGATAAGACGGTCGACATACGTCGGCCAACAATTTAATTTTGAAGAAAATCTCAAACTAGAATTATAAAATATCTTGGTGTACCTACTTGTAGGTATAATATATTAAAATTAAAAATTAAAGAAGTATGCATATGAAAAAAAATATTAATGATTAAATAAGAATTTTTATTTTATTTAGAACTAAAAAGAAACTCGTTAATTTTCCAAAGGAACAACAAAGGAACGAATTCTTTTTTTCTTTAGAGAACAAGGAACGGTACGAATTTCTTTTTTTTTTTTAAAGAACGAGGAACGGAACTAATTCGGCAGAGATGGACAATTCACATGTGGCGGATTGGATATAGCACTTGGTACAAATCGAACGTGGTTCGACCACTTTCTAAACTTTTCTGATATCTCCTAAAACAATTTGAAAATTTCACAAAACCGTTTAGGTAGTTTTTGAATATATAAGCTTTAAACATAGTCAAATTCAACTATAATATTTGTTTTGAGTTATAATTTCTTTTTTTCAAAATCATAAACGTGAGTCATGACGATTTGATGCACCTCATCTGCCCAAGTAACCAATGGCAACCATTTATAATCAAAAAAAAATATTAATCTCTCCTTTTATACTATTATAATCTGTAAACTGTAACTAATATAGTAACCTTTAGGCTTTAATAAACACAAATTTACATCATAAATCTTAAAACCTTAAGCATCTTTCCGGGTTGGACTACCCGATCCAATTGAGAATCCAAGCCATCTAGGAACCTACTCAAATATAAATAAATAATTTCATCATATCGGTCCAGTCGTTTAGGAGGAGTTCAATGTCGTACATGCAGTAAAATTATATAATATATAAAAATTGTTTATACTTGATATACAATTTTCAAACATTTTGATCCGTTTTGCTCTATATATAAATATTTAATGTTTTTTTTTCGATTTATGTTGAATTTTAATGAAATCATCTTAATATACGTATACACATTAAATTTATATTGCTGTTTTTTATATGTATATCGTATATGGATGACCTTTTTACGTAATTTTATTTTAACTGTTAAAGGCATTTTGACAATTATCATTTATTTTAATTTTACTCATGTCTGCATTGCAGTGTAATAAAAAATAAGGGTTTCAATGTTTGATAATTTGATAGGACAAAAACATATATTTGTTAAATTGAGCGCATCTTCTAGGTCAGAACTGAAATACTCAAAAAATATGGAAAAATATGGAAAAATAACAAACGGATAAAATGCACGCAAAAGTGCAAAACAAGCTTTTCACAAAATTGATTTTATTTTTATTTGTTTTAATTCAAAATTTAATAACCACCGTACGTACATGATCGGTATTAACCTTTTTCTAAATATGATATAATCATAATTGGCTTATTTGGAACTATTTTTAGATACATTTTGAAACTTTCTACTTTTTTTTTTTGCTTTCGTCAATAAATGTTTGAAACAACTTTTATTTATTAATAAAATACTAGAAAGCTTAATTAAAAGTTCCTCTTAATTTTTTCTTCCAGCTAAAAAAAAGATTTTAAAGTAAGTAAAAGTGTCAATTTTTTTTTTGATTAAACCATTTAAATTCAAAATTTTGACATAATTTTTCAAAATATTTTGCTTAACATTCATAAAATGTTCAATTTTAATAGTTAGGGCTTCAAATAAAATTTAAGATTAGGTGTACTTGATGATAAAATTGAATTGCCGCAATGCTATGAGTATTTTGTATGATAATATAGATCGTATAAATTAGATTTAATGTTTCATTCTATTTTCTGTTTATTAGGCTTCGGCGACTGAGATCATTAGGGTTGGTAAGGTTGGTTAGCCAAACATGTACCTATGTGTTGCAAGGTGTTTGCCACTGCGAACCCCGGTGGTCACCCATCCGGCCATCCGGAAAACAGCGGACGTTACTTACTCTAGACTATACTTTGTGATTGATTGTAGCCACCAAGCTGTACCAATAGCCACATTAAATTTTAACGTTTCGTCCGTGACTTTTAAAACGATTAACGACTTTGATTGAACTATATATGACTGATACATTAAACGTATTATATAAGTAAACGTAAAGTATTATTATTAAGTATATTAATTATTGTGACAATTACATTGTAAATTAACTTTGACCAATTTAAGTTAGATTTCATATTTGTATTTGTTTATACTTTATTATAATATGTACGTATAACGTATTATTATAACACTACTATAATCAATAATACATAGTAGGTACATTGAAATAATTATTATAACATTACAGTGTTGTTATTTATTACCAAGTCTTTTTTTTTTGCGTTGAGCCGTTACCAAACCCTACAATTGCATAAAAGTGAATAATATAATATTATATTATAATATATATACGCAAGGTAGATTACCTGATTACCTATGTAGTAATTACTAACCGAAAACGTTTTTATCGTTGTTTTGCAAAAGAAACTGATTTTCTCAGTGGGGCCCAGGATTCATATGTGTTTGAAACTAAATTAAATAAATAAAATATAAAATACCTTTATTGTATATTGTCTTTTACATATTAATTTGTAAAATTGTTTAATATTATAAGGTATAAACAGGTATCCCTTCCATTCATTTTTATATTTTGTTTAGTTTAGAGTCTTACACGATATACCGATATTTTTAAGAATTCATTGTATAATGCACAATTTAACATTAATTCGGGCATACACTGTTAAAGTGGCAAGCGTGATTGTCAATCTTCTTTCTATAAAATTAAAAATATAAATATAATATATAAAAATGCTTGAAATTCATCAATCAGATTGTCAATCTTTATCGTTTCATATAAATATATTGCTGATTAGTGATTGTCATTCTTTGAATGATAGTTTAATGGCTTTACATATTAAATTACCAACTGTACTTTTATAGATTATACCTAAATCAGCTAAATAATATCTAATCTATAATGTACGATGTACCTATGGTTCAAAAGTTCACTTGCGTGTTTTGAATCAATTGTCAAAGTGTAACATGATATCAGTAATCAATTTCACATTTCAATATTTGACCATTAAGTCCTAGCTACACTAAAACAACAATTTTATTTTGCATATTTTTAAATAAAACATATTTTTTCTTTTAGAAATCGAAACTGACACATCTGCAGTCGATACAGAAACAATCTCGGAGTGTGTACTTGGAGGATACCGTATGTTGACAAAACATTTATTTGATAGAAATATTATGTAACAATGAATGACAATCACGTAAAGTCGTATAGTACGTTAAATACGATTTGATAATATCGTACAATACATCGAATATTATAACAGCTACGTCACTGAGCTTTGAGCTAGTGCCGCCGAGGCTGCAGCAGGACGTCCGGTCGGCCACCCGGTGATGGGGCATCACAATCACACCGTCGAGTCGGCAAACAACGCGTTCGCACCACCAACACCACCATCTGCATCACAGCCTCGTTCGTCGAGGTCCATCACAACTCTGCGGGACGTGATCGGCACCACCGCTGCGGCGGGCCGCAATTTGCACAACACCAACAACAGCAACGACCGCGGTGCTGGCAATTGCACCGGCGCAACCTCGACAATCGCACCGGTGACGGTCGCAATGCAGAACGGAACGGCCGTGCCGGACCGTTCGGCCAGCGACTACTATTACTATTACGCGTACGATAACGCTACCGAGACCGCCCTGTTCTTCCCGCTCAACGGCTCTGCGGCCGGCGGACGGACCGGACCGTTCGGGAAATCCAACTGCCAGTGGATACCCGCCCAGCAGAGCCTTTTCCAGTTCTCAAACATTTGTTTCCTGACGGCTTTCATAGTTCCCAGGAGTTACAAGCTCAGCGTGTTGTCACTGAGGTAATTATCGTTACGGGTCCGTGTGCTGCATGCCTGCATGTGTAAAATGTATTCGTAGTTTAGTCACTATATATTCTAATAATTTCCCATCACTAATGTCCCGTATCAAGCGTCACCGTGGCATATTGATATTATATTATAATATTTAAATCAGATTTTTACGCAACAGTAACGTAAAATAAAAAAAAAAGCTGGTAAGTGGGTGTCAAGCTGCTGTACAGTAGGTTATAAGTGGGTCACTATAATGGATAGAGTTAAATTTAAATTTAACGATGTACCATTGTATACGAAATACGATTCTGCGCGGAGACGGTTTGTCAGCCTAGAATATTTTATATTATATTTATATTATTATTATTATTAATAACTTTAGAAGTTTCAAGTACCCACGAATACATTTTTTTATCATAAGACAAAACTAAAATTGTTTTTCTTCGTTTAAATATTTGATTTCGCACAAACTTGAACATAAATTACTACTATATCAATATAAAATATAAATGCATAACAAATTCATACCTACATCTTTTACTTATTTCTTCGCTAATTACTTAGTAAAATGGGCTGACTGACCGACTTCGCACAGAATCGTTTCTCGCACACATTGATTTATCATTGAATTCATGTTTAACTCATACATTATTGCGACTTATTCAATGACCAGGTATACACTACTATAATGCAGGGCGCTCTTTTTTTTTTTAATGTGTAACATTTAATCAAATTTCTTATTATAGATTATGTTCTTGTTGAAAAACGAGCATTTGAATACATTGATTTGCTAAGTAGATATACTTTAAGGTGTTAAGTACTGTGTTGTCTATGTAGTATGTACTATTGGGACCTACAACAGTATATTGTATAATGTATTATATAATATCATCTGATCATCATAGTACCTATTGGTACACTATTTAATATACCTAATACATTCATACGATGATAATTAATATAGGCGTGCCTGGACGCAGTTTTTGCCTTTTGTAAAATTAACTAAGACTAAGGGCCGTTCTTACAATGTCCGGTTAAAGTTAACCGACACTTAACCGGCCGAATTCTGCCGGTAATAAAATCTGTTATCAGTCGGTTAGCGTTAACCGACACTTTACAGGACATTGTAAGAACGGCCTTAAGACTAAAACTAAAACTTATGATTGATGAATAAGAAATACGTGAATATTTGGTTACTCTTTCCATATACACACCACCACCACCACACACCTAAATTAGATGAGGTTTGTGTAGTAGTTTACACTCGACGCGTTATATTATTATAGTATATTCTTTAGATTTTTTGCATTATTAATGGTGTCATAATTGAAATGTGTATGCAGATTTCAGATAAATCAACATGGAATTTCGAATAAATATCTATTTTAGACCAAGTAGGTACTCGGTGCTATCTGCAGTTGTTAATTTTAATACTTATAGTCATAAAAACACGCTTTACGTTTATTCACGCCTCACGGGTATCAGACACACATACATTTCTGCTAGGTACTTGGAATTTGCATGAGTAATAATATATTATATTACTATAATAATATAATAATATTACTTATATTACTAATAATATAATTATATTACTCGCAGATGCAATTTTCAAAGTACTTCGTACATTTTTTTTATATAATTATATCTAGGGTCTAGGGACTGATAAAAGTTTCATTCGAATAGAAACCTTTGTAATTTTGATCTTCTGTTATGGTTTTGAAACCAATTTTTAAATATTTTACCTCAATAGTTGGAACTATATATTATACAGTTTTTGAACTATCGAAGAATATATTGTTGTTTAATAAGTACGTATGTCTTTTGTATGTTTAGGAACTTTTTCATTTTTCAGTGTCTAAAAGTTGGAACAACCAATTAGTCTTTTATTGCAAGTTTCATAATTATATTATATACAATTATGTGCTATAGCTGTGATGATTCATGTTTACATATTTAGTTGTGAAACAATAATTTAGTTGCGACTTGGTGAGCAATTACATTATAGGCTACATGCCTACTCTATACTAGTTTCTAAATTAATGTAACAATTCTCTGTAGCAATTTGTTAAAACGAAAAGTTTTAATGGTTGCCATTTTAGTATTTACACCAATTCAAGAATAAATTAAATCATGTTACATATCAACTGGTCATAATGTTAGAGTAAATCTATGCCATTATACTATTGTATATTATTACATTGTCTACATAACATCGTCAATTTAAATCAAACTAATTTAACTAATTAAAAATATAATTATTTCTTGAAAAAAAATCCAATAAAATATAAATGAACATTTGTGTGTAATAACTATACATATTAATGATGGTGTCTTTAAGCATGACCAGTAAAATAATAAAAAGTGTATTCACATTATGTATATTATGTCGGGCAGGGCGTTGCTGTTCCTAGGGTTTCTGATTTCGGGTCTTTGGGCATCCACGGACGTGTGTGCGGTGGATGCGTTGCTCTGGTACGGATCACTCGCTCTGATCAACGGTGTGCACACGCTTAAACTGTGTAAGAAACTCATGCCACCAGCGCTATCGGTCGAACTCATGGAATTGTACTTGAGGGTGTTCAAGCCGCTCAAAGTCAGCCAGAAACACTTCCGGGAGCTAACGCGGGAGGCGGCCATCGAGGAATTGTCCCCCGGCGAGTGTTACGCGGTCGAGGCGGTGACGGCCTGTGATCAGCGACTGTCTATTCTACTCAGAGGCAGGTGAGTGATTCGGTATAATTCCGCAGCTGGAACATAATGTTTTTATAGGATTCGGTTTGTAAAAAATAAATAATATTACGGTTCGAGTTCTTCAAACAAAATTGAATGTACCTATTTCCAAATTAGATAAAAATATATATTTTAAATATTATGACTTAAGAGTTATTATACGTCCTTTTTTTATAAGAGGACTCTACGGCTACACTCATATACGTACGTCATCTCTGTGTTACAAACGCACTACATAGTAAATTGTACGTTCTGAATAATCCATTTAACTTTCTTATGTTTAATATCAGAACAGGGATGCATCAAGGGGGGGGGGGCAAAAGGATGTTGCTCCAGGCGGAAGGGGCGGCGAAATATTTAAGGGCGGCAAAAAAAGTCTATAATGTCGTTTGTAATATAATAAAAATAAAATATTTAGTAGAATAAATATTAATTATTACTTTTACGAATTTACGATGTCAATTTTCGGAATACTAATACTATACGGTAGTCGGTAGGTATCTAAAATCGTAGAGAGAACGCTGTTTATGGACCTTGTTTTCGTAATACCTAGTACGTGCGTACTAATCGAACTATTTTTAATATTATCATTTATCACTATTCACCACATATATTATTGACATGACGTAATAGCCGCCGGGGCACCGAGCTGCCCGCATACGATATTGACATGTACTATATTATTGCGGTATGACTACTGAGACTCTGTATTCGGTTTCTTATTCGATTATAATATCTATTATATATATTTATATTCCTATAAATTGTATCTATACTATTTATTTATACAAGAAATAACAAAAGTTTTGAACTTGGTCAATTTTTAGGATAATGTTATTGTAATATAATATTTAAAACTTTAGTTTGAAATTAATAATGATATGTAGTCATGTAGACATAGGTACACATAGGTACCTATTGTGTATGTAATAATTTATTAATTTTTATAAATTGTATCTGGTTCATATGTGTTTAAATACATTGTATATTGTAAAAGACAATACCTAAGTGTAGCAAGAGTAGATAACTAATGAGTAGATAAGCTATAAGCATATAGTTTTTTCGTAAGTATATTGTATAATGTTTGTTCGAGCGTAGCGATACAATTTTTTTTTTGTTATTTACTTGTAAAAAAGGGCGTATACTGAATTAGGGGGGGGGGTCATATTTATGTTTGCTCCCCCATACATTGTCCCTTAATACGGCCCTGTATCAGAATGAATTGAAGTAAAAAATTTCCTCGCCAAGTAAATAAATTATCGAAACAGACTAAATATACTTAAATTCAGTTTACTTAGCATTTATTTATGATATCACATCTTTATAGTGCTTTGAAATTACTGGTTTTATAAATTCTATATGAAGCGAAAAATGTTTTGGTTATACAATGCGATTTTTTTTTGATTTTTTTTCTTCTTCTTTTTACTTAGCTAATTTTTACACGGAGTTAGACGGAGGGTTTTTGTTTTGATTATATTATAATATAAATATCATAATATTTATAATATATTTACAGGTGCATAATAACTACTTATAGAAATATTAAAATATATATATAAATACTGTATAAAATAAAATCAAGCTAGGAATAAAAACGAATCTTACACAATTTATTATGGTGGCACTTGCCCATTCTATAGGTACACCATACACAGTGTTGAAATGGGTTTTATATGCTTAGGTGTGGTGTTACTTGCGAAGGTACACAGTTGCACAATATCAGTTCGTATCAATTCATTGATTCACCCGAATGGATGGCTTCAGCTCTAATGCATGAGAAACTATGTTCCAAGTACGACCGTTATATTATATAGTATTAATATATTATAACATTAGTACTAAGTTGTACTCGTTTATTGGAAACTAAATCAATTTTAAGGTAACGATAACGGCTGCTGAAGATTGTGTTTACTTATGTTGGCAACTTTCAAAGCTCAATCGGATATTTAAACACAGAACCCAATTGCACGCTGTACTTACTAGTATCATAGGTAAGTCGGTGTTTTCCTTTTAAATATTTGATAAAATTCGAGGGAGACCCTAGTTCGATCCTAACAGGTTGGGGAGGAAAACAATACAATTTACTTGTCGATATTTGACTAACAAAGTTTTAAACAACGCATTTTTGGTTGTGTGCGTGCACCACAGGCAAAGACATAACGCACAAAATGTACTCGCTGAACGAGCAGCTTGGTCAAGCAAAAAGTTTCGATGATCAGACGCGTGCTGCGCGCAACGACCATTGGCGGCAAGCGATTTACAGGAGCGTCAGCTACGACGCCGTCAACACGGGAAACTAAAGGAACGGTCAGGTTCGAACGCTTGGAAACGATATAGAGACCGTAAGGCGTCGTTGTTCGCGGATCCCGGCGAAAGTGAGTTATTATAATATTATTAACTATAAATATAGTTAGTTGAGTTTTGTAAGGATTCGACACACTTAAATAATAGGTATATCACGTTAAATTAGGCATTATGTTTTTGTCTAAAAATATAATATGCCGTATTATAATAGGTTGGTATTAGCTGATATTTATCAATTAAATAAATTATAAAAGTATGCATATATAATTAAAAATGAAACAGAAACTAAATTGATCAAAGTTTTTACCTTTACAAAAATAAATGTAATTAAATAATTTTATCTATACAACTATATAAACATTGAAGCACAATATAGGTATAGATCTGTATGGTTTAACTTTATTTGGCAGGATTATTATAATTAATCTATCATTATCAGCATAAAAATATACTACAGCGTATAGCGTATATTATGAGTTATATGAACATCATTTAACATATTCAATATTCATATAATAATTAATATTAAGAATCTTAATAGGTCTATGGTACATACGTACAGGGCTGGATTGAGATATTTTGGCCAATCGTACTCAAATATTTTAATGGCCCCAGGGTTTTTTTAGAGTGCAGTAAGACACATTTTGTGCAGTGAGAAAAGTAATTGTGCAGTGAAAATTGTTACTTTGTACAGTGCAAAAAAAGAATTTCATGATGATATTTTATTGTATATTATAAAACAATAATTGAGTATTCTTCAAAAAAAAAAAAAAAATGTTTCTATTAAAATTAAAAATTGTTTATATTAATCATTATTATACTATTTTTTTTAAAACAAAAAAAATATCTACCACCTTTAAGCACATGCTTATGGTGGTGGTAGAATTATATTATTATTAACATAATATGAACAATTTAATTATAAATAAGAAAAGCGAACAAGAACTGAATAATCAATGTATACAATTAGAATACTTATAACTAATAGTAAATTACAACAGCTAAATAGAATTCCTTTTTATTTATTCAAGTATTAAAAATAACCAAATCTGAATTTTTTTTTTCATTTCTATAGTTATACGATTCCCTTCTGTATAGAAAATGTCCCTTTTTATATTTACCGGCATTGAGTTTTTTGGAAATAGATAATCTATGAATTTTTGACCAAGCTTTTCTAGAATACTCCATTCTGACATGAAATGCCCTATATTTCTTTTAATAACCCTCTTCATATCCAGAAAGGATTCAAAGTTTTTAATTATATATACAATAGTTATTTTTTGTATATACAGATTACAGACTCAAATGGTAATACATCTAATAACTTTTCTATAAAAAGTTTTCTTTAGTTGAACCAATTAAAGTAGTTTTACTTAAACATATCCTAACAATTTTTCTTTGTAAAAGTTGTAGTGGTCTAGACGCATTTTGATTCAGTCAAAATTATAATTTTGACTGTTATTTGATGTAAAAGTATATTTCAAAAATTATAAAGAAATTATTTAAATAGTCAATTAATTGTTTTTATTTTTATAAACAGTTATAATTACAAATTACCTATTTCAAGTAAATATTACCTACTTAGTAAGTATTATTACTTATATTTACAAACAAAATTTTTAAATTATTATTTACAAAATATGTACAATAAAAATAGTGCATTAATATAAAATGATTTATTTGGTATATCACGAGAGAGTCGGGATTTATATGTTTATACATATCGTTTCTGACTTTCTGAGTAGGTACCTATATGCAGTCTTATGAAAATAAAAAATGTAGATAGTGTACAGTATACAGTAGACACTAGACAGTAGGTTAATAGGTACTAGCTAGGTAGTATAGCTGGCACAATTCACAGGGGCGGCTCCAGAGACATGATAGGGGGCGATCAAGTCATAATTTTCAGAACATTTTTTTTGTACCTAATTTTGTTTTTAACAGTATAAAGTTCTTAGAAATACAGCTTTGGACCCACCCCTGACAGTTCAACGGATAACAGTCCGTAGGGTTTGGTATGTATATACAAATTCCCTAGTATAACCCAAGAGTGGGAATAAGTTTGTGCAGTCAGAAAAAATCATTAAAAAAAACCCTAAATGTCCCAAATAAAACTCCTCCTTTCTCCTCTGCACCAACCCAAATTAATGATGAGTGAGCTGTCCTATTTATGCTAAGCACTATCGTAAGCTCTCGCCCCAATCCGGCCCAGCCTACACACGTAGATATGTACCTTTTACCTATATTATAATGAGTTCGCCTCCCAGTAGAAATCAACCAATAGACGCCTCTTATTTGTAACCAAAATACTAAACATCTATTTCTCTGGACCTTTCCATCTCCTTTGGATGAGATATCGTTACCCTGCACCTCTCCTACACTCCAGGTGTAGAACCCATCTATTGTAATTGTTAGCGAATAAATTCAAGTATCATTCTACGTTTTTATAAGATGTGAAAACTTTAGCCTTAAATCAATGACCAAGTATGCGTATTGTCGAAGCTCGAGATTGACTAAAATAGTCATAGCGATAATACTTATTAAACGCCATACGATTCACGTAGGTCCGGTGCACGGTCCGCGGAGGTGCTGGATACCGGTGTTGACCACGCAACTTTCGGATAGCACCACGGCATACGCCAGCATGGACGGGCAATCGTCTTCGGCCGACGAGGAGCGCGAACCGATGCTCCCCGGGGACGACCACCAGTCGGACGACATTCCACTGTACCGGTTGGACGGACAGAAGCAGTCGGCCGCCTCGTTGGCGTCGACACCTGCGATTGCGCCGGAGACGGCCGGCCTGGAGATCAACGCAGAAGTGGCCCAGCGACCACGGCGGCCCAGCACGCTGCGGCGCCAAAACAGTAACGTCAGCAACAGGGTCGAAGTGATTTTCGACGAGACGGTTCTCTAAGATGGCGTACACAAATTGTTATTTTAGGGATCGAGGCTTACTGCATTTGCATGTTTTTTCTGTCTGTCCATTTTATTGCTAAACGCAATAGCTATACATTTGTTTTATGCTAATAAGAATTTTTTAGTGAATTTTTAATAAGCATTTTGGACATTTATTATCATGATTATACGCAGCCATTTTATGTATTTCACACATTAATTGTTCGGCAAACAATAAATCTATGAATTTATGAGTTGTGATAAAAATAAAATCTAAAAACACGGTACACTTCTATCTCGTAGTATTATTACTTATTAGCGATATTTTAAAGATTTTCATAATTTATGTGTTTATTTACTCGTATGTAAATGTATTCTGCACGGAAACGCTATTATAAACGCCTTATTTTATTTTGAATAGGTAGGAAATAACAACAATAATTAAAGCTGGGCAAGTTAATATAGTTTTTCAAATTATTTAAGAAAAGTTACTTCCATATAACTACCTATTAATGAAGTTACAATACAAACTGGTTTCAGAAATCAGAGAAATTTCTATCTTAGTTAAAAGTAAGTGTTTTTTTTTAGTTTAAAACATAAATTTGAAACCCGTTTGTTCAAATATAAAGTATTTATTAAATAAAATAATATGTAACTAAAATCATTGGTGATGACATTGATTAAATTAATTGACTACCGAGGTGGCACCACTAAGACATATTAAGTAATTTACTAAACTTGGGGCCACGGCGCCACCGCATGTATTACAAGAAATATATCATGCGAAATGTAAAATTTATCAAAAAATTTAAAATACTATTATTTAATTATAAAAAATTATACATTAATGATTAATTATTTTACAGTATTCCAGGATTATATTATATAATTGAACGTTATCATTTATAACGGTAAAAATATAAGTAAAATACATTTTTAGTGGAACATCGTAGATTTCGAAATATCACCAAATTAAAAGTTGTGCAGTGTAGGTACCTAACAACTTATCGAGATTTCTAAATTAGTAAATTAGTAATCACATGCATGTACGTCACTTTGAAAGTGTGTAAATTATAATTTTAAATATTATATTATAAATATTTACAGCGATACCTAAGTATAATATATAAGTTATATTGTATAAAATATATTATAATATATATAATACACATATAGTTACAATAATAATAAACACCAACGCTTAAACACTATTAAATAATAATGAAAAAATGTATAAACGTAATGTAACTTCAAACTTGTAAGTAGGTATCTAATGATTAATACATGAAATAATATTGTCTATTATGCTGCTGTAATTTAATTATATGACCAATGATAAACATACCTATTTTTTTTTCGTAACAAACCAACTTTTTACAATACGGTCTATATTCAATGGTTTTTATTTTTACGTCTGAAATTCAGAAAAATGTATGTTCCTAAAATTCTACTTATTTAACTCGTACAAAATTAAGAAAGTGAATAATATTATAAAATTGAATTTCCATAATTGATAATATTTTTTATTATACCAAACGTCTGGCTATCGTTCAATTTTAGAAACGAATATATATTCTATGCTAAGTTCCAACGAATTATCAATGAGTTTTATTGGTAGTAATAAAATTGTACCTAGTAAGAATTTTGATATGTAGATTAATTAAGTAAAAACAACTGTAAAATATTGTCATAATATTGTGCACAGTGCACACTCATACCAAATTAATACAATAATATAAAATTAAAAAATATTAATCACTTTTATAATAAATTACTGAATTGTTGATGTGCATATAAAGTTAAAATTGGTACTTACCTATTTTTATTTTAATTGATGCATACAAACTTGATCAGTAAGATGCAAGACAATCGAAACAAATGGATATCCGTTATGCACCAATTGTTGGTGGTAATATATTCAATTTTGTTTTTAAATTTAACATTTAATAGGTTTCGATTAACATGTTTGATGACTTACATTGAAAAATACAAATGCTGAGAGCTCATAAATAATATTTAAAGGTCTTTGATAATACTTACATATATTATAGGACAAAGTTTATTGATGTCACTTAATTATTATTATTTAAATCAAGAAACAAAATGTTGATAAGTCATTTGTAATTTTAACTTGTGTGATTACCAAGTAAATCAAAATACATGTTCAATTAAATTTCAATTCAATCTTTTTGTTACGTTTCTTAGAATTTTAAGTGTTGACATGTTGTATTGTTCGAGTGAAATGTCTTGTAAATTATATAAAAACTATTATCTATTATAAAATGCTCATCACCATAATAACCAATTATCATAAAATGTGTTAAAAAATAAATTGATCTACGTCACATTAAATGATTTTTTTTTAGTTAAATATTAAATTGTATATACGATATATAATATATTATTAATATGTTTTATGTGTAGATAATCAACATATTTTGTGTAGCCGTGTATTGTCATAACTTATAATATACTAGCTGATCCTGCGCACTTCATTGCTCGTAAAAAATTACAACTTTTAAAAAAGTTGTGATTGTTCAACTCCTTTTGATTGCAACTATCTTATGTCGGATTGCGGACAACATGCAACAGCATATCAAGTAGGCAATGGCCAATGTGTAAACATTTGAATTGATGCTTGCACCTGATGTGCTCGATTAACCAATGGCAGCCAAAAAATAAATACTAATTTTTACTAATTATTTCTCTTATAACCAATAGCAACCATCTAAAACAAACATTTCTACCTTAAATCTCAAAATTTTCGTTTGAGCACCTCCCCGGGTTGGATCTAGGATGGTGAAAAATACTTTACGACCTATTCTCATACCAACCAAATATACAAAAAAAATTCATTAAAATCGGTCAAGCCATTTTGGAGGTGTGCGATCACAAACCCAGTGACATGCGATTTTTATATATTAGAGAAGAAAGATTATATTGCTCAGTTATATTGCATGATATTTTATAGTGTGTTATATTGAGGCTATATAATATAACATTGAGGATCATCTTTCTATAAGTTTAGTATAAACATTATTTTATATCGCTACACAACTTAGGCAATCATAACGAGACTATTATTACTAAGCACAGGTTTTAATTAGATAGAAATAATAAAAGTAGCATGATAATGTTCTCTTAATTCTGCTCACAAGCTAAAAGCTTGAAATTTTTGTTATTTTTAAAATGTATGGAGATAAAAAAATCAATGTGGAAGTGTTATTGATATCAAATACTAAACGTTTGTGTGCATTTTTAAATAATATTAAACTATGATATTGGATTACAACTAATAATAAACTATTACATTTTTATTAATGTGATTATTTTTTAAAAAAGCAGCTTTTTATAAACAAAATGTTTTGTATACATTATTTCCATAGAATTGATGGAAAATAGAAAAATTTAATGTGTTATAATCGTTGAATGTTATTAATAAAATTAATAAAATTATATTTAAAAACATAAATCAAATATTTTGAAAATGTTGTAATTGTGTTTTTTGTTTAACCCTAGTTTTTCTTATTATTAATTTTATGTATTGGTTCAAGAGGGAGTCTTACTAGGATGTATGGTAATATAGAAAATGACTCTATTCTAATTTATTGTGAATTGACCTATCTTCAAAATTCAAATTTAAACGTAAGAATATTACCCATGTAGTTGGTTTTGGTTGATATATATATATATCAGATTCTGAGGGGAGCGAAGAAGCTAGCGGTATTATAATGGTGTTTATTTTTTTATTTATTTTTTTTATTCTGTATACAGAATGTCTACCAGAAGGAGTGCTTTTTCAACATATATAGTAGTATAGTACCTACCTTATATTTTAGCAAATTGAATCAAGCTGGTACTTTGGAGAGGTAATTTTTCGATTTTCTCAATAGTCATTTAATGCCACGGTAAAAACACCGACAAATGGGATAGAAACGAATAAAAAATAATAATATTATAATATTAATTCAACTTACATGATATAATAAATAATAACAATATAAAATATCCCGACTGACAAACCGTCTCCGCTCAGAATCGTTTTTCTTATACAATAAAATTATATCATTGAATTCAAGTTTAATACAATGAAATTATATCATTGAATTCAAGTTTAATACAATCCATTATACATACGCCTAGAAATGCTTGACAACCTCTTCGAAGCCCTTAGTCCAATCCAAGACAACACCAACAAAATCATCACATTTCTAAAACTTATTGATGTGTAGGTGCAACTTAATCTAAGGAAACTTTTTTATTATTTATATATATCTATTTTTTTTATTTTTTTGTTTCAAACTAATAAGTAATAACCTAGTAATTGATGCTGTAACAAAAAAATAATAATAAAAAAAAATGACTAGGTTTAATAAAGGCCTTAAATAAAATAAAGTCTATTACTATTATTATGAGTGGTCAGCGTGAACAAAATAATAAAATAATAAACAATGAATGATAAAAAAAATATTTATGACAAATAATGCATGCCTTCAAAGTCATAATATATTTTAGTCATTGTCACTGCCCGGAAGGGCAAATACAAAAAAATAAAAATAAAAATAATAATAATAAGATAAATACTGCAAGTAACGACGGAAACATGGCTCGTTAGAACTAAGCCTGTGTGACTACTGATAGGGTATAAAGTATATTATTATGTTTATATTTATTTTTTGATTATTTTATTTTCTTAATATTGATTTACAAGCCTATCTTAATGGCATCTGATGTATAAGCTAAACACATTCTATACCAACATCTGCTCAAAAGAAAATAATGACTTAAATATAAAAATATTCAATCTTATATAATATAGTGACATAGTGTTATTAATGCTATCTATATAAGTAATACATATATAAATATTATATTTTAATATACATTTTAGTATTTTACTGTAGAAGATAAGTAGGTGGTCCACAAATTGCCTATACTCTGTTCAGTGTTTATATTATAACAATTAACAGCAAGTGTTAAGATTTATTACTTACCTACTATACTCTCGTAAAATTGCAA